AGAAGTTAAAGAGTGAGGGCATTTGTCCGGATATCGTCACTTATAATATATTGATTGGTTCTTACTGTAAAGCAGACCTGTTTGAAGAAGCGTATGCACTTCTGGATAGAGGGGTGGCTAGTGGGTTGAAGCCTAATAATGTGACTTGGCACGTATTGGTTACTAATATGTTGAGAAAAGGTTTGAGGAGATTCGGGCATTTGGAATATGCTGATTACCAATACATTGAGATGGGTATTGGGTGAGATGGTCAAGTTTAGAGATATATGATGGAGTTTTCATTTTTCGAAGGGACGTATAATTTTTAAGGATATAACAAAGAAAAAAAACTTGGTATTAATATAATTACAGTACTAGTGAGAAATGTGAACGTGGAGAACATGAAAGATGAAACTGGACTGCCGGTTTAGTGGTCTTCAAATTTTACTGAAAGATTTGGATGATGATCTTATGGATAAAGGATTGAAGGACAGAGAAGTATGACATATGATCAGATGAAAGAGCATGAGAACATGAAAGATGAAACTGGACTGCCGGTTTAGTGGTCTTCAAATTTTACTGAAAGATTTGGATGATGATCTTATGGATAAAGGATTGAAGGACAGAGAAGTATGACATATGATCAGATGAAAGAGCATGATAAATCCTACGGAGGATAAAGATGCTTTCTGAACCTGTTCCAGATGGTTTCTTCTATGTTATTCCTGTGAGTCTAAAATTTATTCATCCATCTCGATCTTGAGGAATGTTATCTTTGTTTCCAGCTTATCATTTTGCTTTTTGTTTAAAGTGGAAAAAGAAAAGCTGTTAATTAGTATGAAATGATTGTTTATTTATCGTAATTTAGTGTTCAAATTGGGGAAGTACTTTTTCCCAGGATTAAGAAAACCACACTGCACGCATAACGGCTTCCTGACATCATAGTAGTTGTGTTGATTTTTGATCTCTTGCGAGAACATCAGCACTTTACTTGAAAACCCCATTTCTGGTGATTACAGATGAATAATTTTTCATTCTTTAGGCTTGAAAATATCATGGTCCACTTTTGAACATTGTATGTTATAAGTTGGAGTACAATAGATGTGTGTTTATGTGTGTGCCTGAAGGTTTATGCGCAATCTAATGTATTGTTTTTTTCACATTTTTGTGCTTATTCTGTGGCTGCTGCTTTTGTTTGTATGGTGGATACACTAGAGCCATCTATGTCTCTATATTTGTCCAGTAGCCCATATGTGTGTGTGAGTGTTTGTATTCAATCAACACTCAAGGTTGTTCATCCAAAGAGTAACTTAAACTTTCACTTAATAGATTAATTCACCCTATCTTGGAGTTTATGCTAAGACAATTTCTTTTTATTTCTTTCTTTTGGCCTTTTCACCACAGGTATGGTTGTTTCCATCAGAAGAATCTCCTTCACGAGTTGCATCGGAACTCAGTAGAAGGCGTTGTGGCTGCTTGATAACGAGTCTGATGACAATTTGCCTCAAATACATTTGATAAAATGGAGATGGCCACCCAGTAGGTTTCTTTTATTTTATTTGCTTTAATCATGCAATTGTGTGATATAGACAAAACAATAAAAATGTAGAAAAGATGCATATTGTTTAACAATATCAATGTGTATTGTAAAAGTTATTTTCAATGTATTGTTTATTTTGAAGAGTTGCACAATATCTTTTTATCAAACTGTTAAATATATTCAAAGTTTTAATAACTTCACACTTATAACTTGTTTTTGTTTTAAAAAAAAAATATTTATAATTTTATACTTTGAGTTTCAACCTTTTTATTGTAAACTTATATTCAATGATTTTACAAAACCAAGTGATTAGTTAGCTTGTCGGAGTTTCCGTTGTTGATTTTTATTAATTAATTATATAGTTTGGCTTAGGTTTTTGTAGTTTAAAAAATGCACTTCAAACTTGGATAACTTCTCATATACAAATTATTTATGCCACGTACTATAAAAGGTCAGTCAAAGCCATATACAAAAATCTCATATATTTTTTTAAGTAATTTTTTAATAATTAGTGAGACTCAGATTTTAAATATCTAAGAAGCTTAAGAGATATAGCGATCGAGCTTATATCAATAAAAGATTGAATAGTACGATTTGAGTTACAAGCTCTATTACTTATTGTAAACAGGGGGGTGGCTGAGTGAAATTTATTGGTCCCTCACTCGATAAATACAGTGAAATTGTTTTTATTTTGACTCATCTTCTTGTTCTGCAGTTCGGAATAAATATGGAGTTGCAAGTGGTTACTGGGGAACAATCAAGGTGAGATGGGAGTACGAGAAGCGTTTATCCTCAACCCTTGTCCATGCCTCCAAAGTATGACATTTTTTACTTCTAATATTTCAGGGATAAATGACAAAAGAGCTTCTCTAGTTATTGGCCAAAAAATGAGGGGTGGTTTAGTGAATATAACATCTCAAATAGTGATAAAGCTGTATGTCACGGTTGCATGCAGTATATTAGCGGCATTGATTTCATTAAAGTATGATATGACTTGCTCGTGAAAATTCTTCTAAGTGAACCGAAACTAGCTTATCAGATGGTCACATATAATGGCGTATCCTCTTCTATACCGCAAAACGGTACATCATTGGAATGAGAAAAGTTACGAAATTGATGTTGAAAATCAGCCATCCAATTTGCATAAGTTGCCATACAATCCTAGTGTAAGGCCACAATCAAGTGGACCTTTCTAAAGAAACTGAAAATGTTTCAATAGTTTAAATGTTTGTGTGAACTGGACTTGCTACAAGTTTTAGGTTGAATTTCTCCATTTATTTTAGTGGTTTCCTTATATTTGCTGTCTTTGAATGACACCAAGAAGGAGAAAGTTCACTTGATCTTTAAAATGCAGGCGTTATTGGACTGGTTATTATTAGTGTATCTGTTTCTATATCTGTTATATGTACTGTACCGAATTCCATTGAATGAAACTATTAGCCAGTTTCATTTTTATTTATGTATTTTTTTTTTTTTTAAATGGTATGTTTTGGTAAAATCAATTCAGAAACTAGAAACTAGTTAATAGTTGAAAAGTTAGTTGATAGTTTATAACAAATTTCAAGCTTAGAGCTGATAGTTTATGGTAGAAAAGTTGGCTGATAATATTTGATAAAAGTAGTTGATAAGTTAATTGAAAAATTAGCTGATATGATAAAAAATAAAAAATAAAATTAGCTTATAAGCTAGTTAAAACAAAAATATGAATTGAGTTTTTTTAATAACTATCTAGTAAAAATGTTTATACTACCAAATAAAAATTATTTGAATAAATAATAAAATTAAATTATAAGCTAATTTACCATGCTTACCACGCTTTTAAAATGAAAAGATGAAACATTAATCACCCATTAATATACACCATTGTACACTAAATTTAGCAAATTAATTAGTTATATAAAAAAAATTAGTTTGAAAGTAATTTTTTAAACAATTTCAATATTCAAGTTGAAACAAAAACTACACAATTTGTAGACGTCGAAATTTTAATATTTTATTAATTAATGTCTTTATTTATTTTTTGGACATAAATCCATGATAAATAAGATATATAATTAATAATGTTATTTTTTCTTGTCCACCAAGTCAAATCTTAAGATTAGGAAAGAGATTATATCAAATCCTAGGATAAGAAAAGATATTATATCAAATTAAGAAGGACCAATCAAATTGATGTTTTCTTGTCCAAGACTCTCTCTCTTACACTTATAAATAGGGTTCTTCACAAATCACACTTAAGAGCATCTCCAATGTGGCTTTTGACATTATAAAAATTCATCCATATCATCAACTTTTGAAAGTGTGTTACTAATTTATTCTCCAATGCATCTTGTCATGAACTCTTTTATGATGAGATGGATAGCATTTAATGTTGACAATGTTGAACACACTTTCTAATATCTAACACATGTTATACATGATGACTAATCAATTCACTTTATATTTAATTTAATTTTTTATTGTTCTTGTATTAATGATTATTTTAATTGGTCCACCTATATAAATAACTTCTTATCAAATTGATGCATTGGAGATACTAGTTTGATTCAAATTTCTATTCTTTTAACATTATTCCTACATGGATTAACATTACAATCATTGATTGATATGTGTTAAAAATCATTGTCTTTCAAAGCTATAACATTGGAGATGCTCTAAGACACCTCAAAAAATCCAACACCTCATAATTAATCAAAGTCTCAATTCAAAGAGCTCTCAATGTTGTACACAAGTTTTATGTTTTTCATAAAATTTATTGTTAGAATTTTGGCACGCCCAGTGGGACTTTCTCTACCTCTCATCTCTTCTCTCCAAATCAAGTTCGAAAATCTTTGAACATGCATGAAGACCTCTTTGAAGAAAAATATACAAGGGGGCAACTAGGGATGATATCTCCTCAACCCATGAAGCTGCCGAAATCGTTGACTTCATCAAATTCATTCAAATGGAGGGAAAATTCCACGGGGGCAATTTACATTAAGAGCTCCATCAAATCAAATTTATCAAGCTCCTTGATCTGAGTCTAAAGTATCTACATATTCAAATGCTTCTTGATACGAGCTTAAACTATCTATATGGCTCCTTAACACGAGCATAAAATGTCTACATATCAAGATTTCCTTGACACGAGAATAAAAGGTCTACATATCAAATTTGAAGGCTCCTTGACACGAGCTTAACTATCTACAAAATCAAGACTCCTTGACACGAGAATAAAAGGTCTACAAGTCAAATATCAAGATCTCCTTGACACGAGTATAAAATGTCTACAAATTTGAAGGCTCCTTGACACGAGCATAAAATGTCTACAAGAGACTCCTTGATACGAGTATAAACTATCTATAAATCAAATCGAATGAAGAACTCCTTGATACGAGTATAAACTATCTACATATCAAGTCAAATGAAGAACTCTTTGATACGAATGTAAACTATCTGCCAAGTCAAATCAAGAACTCCTTTATACGAGTATAAACTATCTGTTAAATCAAATCAAGACTCCTTGATACGAGTTTAAACTATCTACAAATCAAGTCAAATGAAAAACTCTCTGATATGAGTTTAAACTATCTACAAACTTAAGTCGAAGAACTCCTAGATAAGAGTTTAAACTATCTGCATGTCCAAACCAAATTCAAAATTTTGAGACTCATTCACTACCAGGATATTTTGTCCGTGAACAAGTCTCAAGGAGACATTTGTAGACATCAAAATTTTAATATTTTATTAATTAATGTCTTTATTTATTTTTTGGACATAAATCCATGATAAATAAGATATATAATTAATAATGTTATTTTTTTTTGTCCACCAAGTCAAATCTTAAGATTAGGAAAGAGATTATATCAAAACTTAGGATAAGGAAAGAGATTATATCAAATCAAGAATGACCAATCAAATTGATGTATTTTTCTCCAAGACTCTCTCTCTTACACTTATAAATAGGGTTCTCCTCAAAGTCACAAATCACACCTAAGACACCTCAAAAAATCCAACACCTCATAAATCAAAGTCTCAATTCAAAGAGCTCTCAATAATTCTTTTGAAGATCCAAATGTGTTCTTGAAGATTCACGACATTCAAGTTAAAGATCCAAGAAGAGAAGAATCAGAGGGTTCCATATAGAGATTGTACCCGCATATCGTTTGATTGAAATAAAATCAAGTTGTACAAAAGTTTTATTTTTTCATAAAATTTGTTGTTACACCATCTATCATATATCATTAGCAAATAATAATTTTATATATGAAAAATAAATAATAATTCTTTTAACGAGGTAACAAGGAACTTGGTTAAAACTTGATCAACTCAGACCTAGATCCGACCAACCCGTGTATAAATCCGATCGGGGTCAACTCGATTTGTAGCCGGGCTCCACTCGGTTGACATGTCCATTATTTTTCTTTTAAACTTTTCATTTTTAAAATAAAATTATGTATATAGTTAGTTGGTAAATATTTATGATAATATACAATATTATACAAGACTTGTATAAAAATACTTATAAATTATTTATTTTTATAGTTTTTTATGTATAATTATATGATAAAAGTAATTAAATATAATTTAAAATTTTTAAAATTAATTATTCGATTTAACAATTAATCTAATAATCCTGCGATCGGACCGGTAATCCAATGATTATGAGTGAACTCTGGTTAGCCTGTAATTTAAAATACTAATTTAGGACGTGTTTGAATATAAATAAATCAGCACAAAATGGTTTTTTTTTTTTGTTAATAGAGTTATTTTTTATAAAAAAAAAATTGGTATGGTTAGTTGTTTGTAGAATTTTGAGTTTATATTAAAAAGATATTTTCGATAAAATAATTAAAGTTGATTTGATGTAAAAGTAGGAGAGAGATTATGTAAGGAATGAGTGGATAAATAATGAATTAAAGTTGATGAATATGTGAAAATGATTGACTAATATTATTTAATTATATTAATAATATGAATGACTAGTTAATTTTTGGGGTTTATGGTGCAATTTATCGCTAATTAGATCGACATAAATCAGGATAGTGGAATGCAATTTTACTAGTATCAACATGTGCATTTGCACGAAAAATAATATGATAGAGGAAAAAATAATAAAAATAAAAATTATAAATAATAGTAATGGATGCCTAGGACAACCAACTATGTTTTTTTGATGGGTCAAATTTAATGATGACACTGTACAAAATAAAATTATTATTAAAAAAAATAACAAAAAATATCTTCTAAATATAGAAAAACTAAAATTAATGACTTCCAAAAAGATAAATTAGACAAAAATGATAAAAATTTCAGATTTACCATTTGTGAGGAGAGGTAATGCAAATCTGGGACGACCGCCTATGTTTTTTCGAGGCGGCAAGTTTAATGATGGAATTGGAAAAAAAAAATATTATTATTATAAAATAATAAGCGAAAAACAAATAAGATCTACCAAAATATAAAACTTTACATTTTTTTTATAAGATCTATGCATAGCAAATATTTTATTGTTCAGTTTTTATATGGAAAATAGAATGTTATAATAGATCTACTAAGATTGTTATGAGTTTTTTTTCGAAATTTTGAGCTATATCAACTTTGTATATTTATTAATAATTTGTAAAAAGAGTGCAATAATTTAAAAGATCTAAAGAAATTTTATTTGTATTTTTTTTTTGAAAAACGCAGATCTCAGTCTAATTCAAATATGCTTTCTTTTATTTTATTTTTTATTTTTTTTAACTATTAACACATCTAGTGCTAAAACTTTTTTTTTGTGTGTGGGGGATTTAATATACTATTTACAGATCTGCTAAAATAATTTTTTTTTTTTTTGAGAAATTTAGTATGCGTTTTGCAAATGTTGACCTTATGTTTCAAAGCTTTTGTTCGTATATTTGAGTTAACTAAAAGATTATGTTAAATCAAACAAATGTAACGTCTACAATAATTGTTACAATATTGAACACAGTAAATAAGTTCTTGCCAGTTTTAACACAATCAAACATTAATACTAAAGACTTATATATTTTGTGAAAAATAAAAAAAATATAATAAATTGAAAAGTAACGTCTTTTGGCGGCAATGTCACGTAGGTAAAATTAAATAGGTTTTATTTATTGCTTATAGCTAGTAATTATATATATATATAAGATTTGGTTCAAATGAGAACTAAGTCTAGCGTGAGAACCGTTATTTTTAATTGTATGTAGTGCTATGATTGATTGTATTTTAGTGCTATTTTTAATCAAGATGTATTTTATTAAAAATAGCAACACAATTTATGTTAGTATTTGTAAAAATGATAGCACCATGTGAGATTAAAAATAGCATCATACACAATTAAAAATAGCATCAAATAAAAATAGCAACACAATTTATGTTAGCATTTGTAAAAATGATAGCATCATACACAATTAAAAATAGCGTTCTCACAGTTCGACTAGTTTTTATTTGAACCAACCCCTATATATATATAGAATTTGGATCATATGAGAAAGGGAGTTGGTGTAAGAAATAAGAATGAATTTGGATCATTAGATAAGTCATATCAATGGCTAAGATGAAGTCAAAATTTGGTCAATCAGTAATGGCATTATGGTAAATAAGTATACACTTTAGAGTCAAATATACAATTTTACGAATTAATAGTGGCAAATTGGTCATTTCTTATCCCTCAATTAATCAACCTGGGCCCACCACTCACCCTTTCCCATACCCTCACTCTCTATCACACAAATTCACACACAACTCACCTAATTTTACACACACACACCCGACGACACACTCTGCACACACACACATACACACACACTCACACACACTCACACACACACACACAGGAGATCAGCCCGCCGCCGGCCTCTGCCGTGCCTTCACCATGCCTTCGCTGCTCGACGCGACCCCCGAATCCGATGAAGGAGACGCCGGCCGTGCCTCCACCATGTCTCCGCCGCCTGTCGCCAACAGCGATGCAGGAGACGCCGGCCGTGACTCCGTCGTGCATCGAGCACCAGTTTCGTCGGCGTCCTCCAACAGACATCCTCAGCGCCGGTCTCCGGTCGCCTCATCGTTGCTCACCTGCGGCGGCGCCGCTCCCGCATCTTCTTCTTCCGCAGGAGGCGCAAGTGAGAAGGCCTGCGAGGAGGAAGCCGAGGCGGCCTCCTGGATCATGCCAGGCTGACAAGGATTGGAGACGTGCCTAGTTCACCGGAGTACAAGTCGGCGCCGCCGTGAGTGATTGGAGTTGTTTTTAGGGATTATGCAAATTGGGGCTGATCTCGATCCACGTCGCTGCGGCGGGGATGGCGGCGGTGGGGGCGGCCTGACGGCCACTCCGGCGGTCGGGTGTTTGTCGACGGCAGGTCTGGTTTGGAATTGAGTTGAGGAGATGGTGTATTGGGGATTTGGGGTTGGGGCCTTATTTTGGAGAATTAGTTAGGTTTAGGGGACTAACTTGCAATTTTAGAACTTTTAATAATATATGTATATTTTAATACTTGAGGCCAATGTATAATTTAATGAAATAAAGTAGATTTAATATCTATAAAAAATGCATATTGTTATGCCAATGTGCATTCTCGAATACTTTGATATGCATTCGGTCTAACACTATAGTGCATTTTAACAGTCACTTACGTGCATAATGTTTATTATTATTGTGCATTTAGTCCAGATTATTTTATGTGCAAATTTAAGCTAAAATTAAACTAAATAAATAATTGAAATATTTATTTTATTAATCAAGTTAAATAATCGAAGTTAAATAATATTAATATATCATATTAATAATATATTTTGATTGAGATATAGTAATAAAATATTAAAATCAATAATGTGCATTCGCACAGGCAATAATATGCAGTTCGTATAACATTATTGTGCAATATATATTGATCAACTATTTTTATGTACAATTCAATTTTTTGTAACTTTATTAATGTGTTTTCGTTTAACATTATTTTGTATTTATCAATTTATTTATATAATAAAAATATATTTAGTAGTTTTAATTATTTTTATTTAATATTTTATATTATCGTTTATTGAAAAACAACTGCACTTTACAAAAAATAGTAATATATGAAATATCAAATTTGATGATGTGCATTCTAACATACACTAATGTTCATTTAGTCAACATTATTGTGCGGTTTATCGAAAGTGTAGTTTTATGTACGTTACAATTTTAGGATTATATATATATATATATATATATATATATATATATATATATATATATATATATATATATATATATATATATATATATATATATATATATATATATATATATATATATATATATATATATATATATATATATATATATATATATATATATATATATATATATATATATATATATATATATATATATATATATATATATATATATATATATATATATATATATATATATATATATATATATATATATATATATATATATATATATATATATATATATATATATATATATATATATATATATATATATATATATATATATATATATATATATATATATATATATATATTTATTTTCCTTTTATAAAATAATAAAAAAAAATTTATTCAGTTTTGTCGTTTTTGTTATTTTGTTTTTTTAACCTTTCTTATAAATAAAACAAAATCATACTAAATTGAATGCATTGTGCATTATTTGAACGTACTAATGTGCACTTGAGCGAACACTATTGTGCAGTCTGGTAGTTACTATTGTGCATCACTGTCTTGTACTATCGTGAGTTTTGTAGCGTGAATTTTTTATGTGCAACTAAATCGAACCATTTTAATTTATTATTAATAATGTAAAAAAAATATATTTAGTATTTCTATGTTTTATTTAATATTTTCTGTTTTTTGTAAACACATAGTATATATATGTATAAATAAACAAATATGAAAAATAAGAGTTTATATGTTTTAAGAAATTACAGATTTAACCCAATATACTTAATTGAAATATAACCAAAATATCTAAATTATAATCCAGTCCTTCATTTATATCTAATTCACAAAATAGGGCCCCACAAATTCAAGCCTGTGGAAGCTTCAAGCACCGTTCACTGATATTCCCTTCAGGACGGCGGCGGTCGGAATGCAGGAACAAGGCGGCGTTCGAATGGCGGAAGGAGACCGCGGCGGGGGTCGGATGGCGAAACGTGACGGCGGCGGCGGTTGGATGGTGTGAAATAGACGGCGGCGCACGACTGACCGGCGGTGAGCAGTAGACGGCTGCGACCTACGGCGTGTAGACCGACGAAATCGAGGCGATCTCCTTCTCTTAGAGTAGCGAGGCCGACGTCGTGTGGTGGGTGAAGGACGGCCGACGAGGTCCTTTACGGCCAATTTCACGCCGGACAGCGACGAGGGTCGGGATGGACTGAATTGAACGAACCCGTGCGGCGGCGTTAGTTCCGAGGCGGCGGCGGTCGGCGCCGGCGAGAGGATGACCACCGTGTGAAGGCCTTTCTGTGGTGTTCGTTCATGAGAGATAGATGGAGGGAGAGAGAGAGGAGTGGAGAGAGAAAATAAATCTGAATCATTACCTGCGTTGGGTGAGGGAATTGGATTTATTGTCTCATGGTGGGACCCACTTATGTGTTTAATGATTGATGATAAAAAGTCTAAAATATCCTTAATGCAAGTATTATTTTGACTTTTTTTAGCTATTGGATCATTTAATCCTATGGTTGAGATTTATTCTCATTTCTCGCATGAAGCATCATTCTCACCGGAGCGCGACCATATATATATATATATAGATTTGTCCCTATTTTATGGTTTTTATAAATATTCCTTCCTCTACTATCCCTGCTGCTTCACCTTGAAGTTGGGGCTTTTCGCTAAAACCCTTACCAAAGCCACTGCAGACACAGAGGAAAAAAGGGTAGTAAATTGAAAAATGCTGAAGTTCCTATCCAAGGTGAAGATCGAATTCAACGCGCTGGACCCTCGCCTGGCGTCTTGCATGGAGTTCCTGGCGCAGTGCAACGCCCCCAAGGCCAAGGAGTCGAACCCCAGCTGCCAGGTCCAGGTCAAGCGCCGTACCGACGATTTTCCGCCCAGGATCACCGTCACCTTCGTCAACGGCGTCGAGGAGACCTTCGACGCCACCTCAACGCCGGCGCAGAACATCCGGACCTTGATCCTCGAGAAGGGTCAGTATCTCGAGACCGAGCAGATGTTCCGCGAGGCGGGCGAGAAATGGCCTGTTGTTATCCCCGATGAGGAGCTTAATCAACCGTTTACTGGAATCAAGGTGCAATTTTCTCATTGTTTGCGTGTATTTATCTGTTGGGGTTTTATTTAATTTGGAGGAGGTTGGGACAATTTGTCGTACATGTGAGTTGATGGTGAAAAGATTTGATTTTTCATAGGGTTTATACCGTGAATCTGTTAAATTCCATTGTGTCCCTGTATGTGTGTGTGTGTGTGTTGTGTTTAAATGCTTAATCCAGTGTTTATGGAGTTAGAATTTCTTGTATGGGCGATTTGCATAATGATTGGAAACTGCTAAAAAAGGTCAGCTGATGGCTAGGTTAATAGCTGTTGTTACAAGAAAGAGCAAGCAAAGAAATAAGACTCAGTTAAGTGGCTTGGATCACACCTGAGTGCAATCTTAAGCAATTTCAAACACTTTATGCTTCTAAACTTCTCAGCAGCCTATCAATTCTTTTCAAGTGTTTGCGAACTCCCGCGATGGTATCCATTGCTATCATCATCTTGAGTTCTTCTAAATCAGCTTAACTTGCTTTTGACTTTGGAGATTGGATTCTGACGGTTTTCACAGCCTTGGTTATGCTTCCTGTAACTGGCTCTTTTTTTTGTAAGATTTTTACCTGCTCTAATAAGCACGATTGTTTGTGGTGAACATGCCAAGTTTACTCTTCCTAGTTGGCTTTGCACGTGATGAATTTACCTAGCATGGATTGTTCGAATTTTCCTTCTTCTGTTGAATTTGGCGTTGGATACTGAAAATTCTGATGGTTCTGAGTTTGCCCTAAAGTATCTCAAAGAATGTTTATTACTGTTCAGAGTCAGATGAGGTTGCGGGTTGCCTTGATTATATATAGATCGATTAGTTAAGTTCAGAATGAAAGAAAGAGAAATTGGTACAGGCTATGTTAACAATCTAGTTTAGGTTACTAACCAATTGCCCAGATATAATGAGAAAATGAAACTGTGTTTGAAAATCACATTTCAACAAGAAAAATATATTTAGTCATTCTGTTTGTGGATGAAAATATATTACACTTTTCACTGAATTCTGTTTCTTGTTATTCTGTATTGTTGCAGCCGAAGAAAGCAGAAGAGAAGCAGCAATGATTCCACCATTCGGCGCGTTTGGATCAGCCATATGCAGTTAACATAGACTTAAACTACGAAATCATGATAGGCTGTATTATTTGAGGTCAAAATTGCTAGAGTTATTAGTGTATGGGATGTTCTCATTTATTCAAATATGTAACATTACTATTTATGTCTTCGGGACCTGTTTGATGCCGAAAAGTGAATTTTCTTTCCGCTGGAAAAAATGGTTCGCAGTTAGCAAGATATTGCTTTCCGTAGTATTTATGGTTGATTTTCACAACTTATCGGTTACTTTGTTATCATTTTCTCGTTCGGTTGTATGAGACTCGCCATCTTTCAAAATTTTTGGCATATGCAAGACTTGTGATCTTTCGAATAATTTATGGGTTATACGATGAAATGAATGAGCATAATAGCTGACTGTTTCATTGTTGAATCAAAGTTGTGCAGTCACCAGAAAATAATTTGATTTTTCAGTGTAATTTTGACCATTGAGTTTCTACTACCATGTAAATTGAAAATCATTTGGAATTGTAACTTTGTTTTTTTCAGCGTTATTAGTAACTTTTGTTTTGTTTTTTGTTAGTACTAATCTATGGTCATTACACAGGAAGACCGGTTATTCCACAGAGAAATCTGTAATCTCACTCTTCAAACACCATTTAAGATCATATGAAGTGTAGGAATCTAATAATGGTCTAGCTCTTTTTGTGTCAAAATTTAAAAAACACATCACAGTAGTTAAATTTGTTTCAAATAGAAGTGTTCCACCCGTAGAAGTGTACAGAAAAGGACTATTTTGTACAAAACAAATACATTTCCAAAGGAGTAAGTTCCTTATTTAGAAGCCGTAGTTCTGTCGTTTACTGAATATGAAACGAACCCATAAGTGAGTTTTTGTCCAATGCAATAAGCCCGAGAAACATACATCTCTCAGTGTGAGTACATACGTATTAACAGTATTGATTAACCGCCTTTTCTGTTTCACGAAGAATAATCATCGGTCTTCTCTCTTGACTTGATTTGGATTTGACATCATGTCCATCATCATCTTCTCAGGTGAATCTTCCCAATTGGCAAATGTTTTCAGGTCAATCTACAATCAGGCATAAAGAAAATTGTAGACAAATAGATATGAAATCGTGAATGCCATTAGAAAACAAAATGCTCCTGCTAAATCAATGTATATTATTATTACCTTTCTCCTTTGCTCTGTAAAAAGTTGTTCTCTCTTCTTGTAAGAAGCTTGAATCTTGAGAGCATTTATGCCCCCTAATCCCCACACCTCTACTTCTAAAACCGAGGCATCAACTGGTAGGTATCCCTACATCAAACACAAATTCACGACAAAATAAAATATCCACTCGAGACACAACATCATGGAACAGCTGTTGTGGTTATTTAATTCAAAGTATTAAAAATAATCAAGGTACAGTCGTAGAGTAACATAACGGCCGGAAGGACTATTTTTAGGAATTGAATCAATTTTTCATCCACTAGGCTTATTACTAGTCACTGAAAAACACAGTTACCCTGCAGAGATTCAATTTACCCTGCGACTTTGTTCCACTTTATCAATCACATCGTCGGGATGAGAAAGATTCATTCAATAAATGCGAACCGTGTGTTTTAACAGATAAAGGGGGCCTTTTGTGATTCTGAAAGATATAAATGGTTTTCTAACAAGGTTAAACTCAAAGGCAGTCTTACTGAATATCTCTTTGCATAATAAAAATACTAAAATGGCAACTAGATGAGTAGAGTGGATCAAGACTTTATTAGATGTCTGTTTGAAATGAGACTCGGTAAGTTCCCTCATGTTAGGCTCTCTGGCTGACCAAGCAGTAGGCAGTTAACGAACCGCGAACAAAAGCTTGTTTGAGCTCGTTCGTGTTCGACAAAAGCTCGTTCACTTGTTAATCGAGCCGAGTTCGAACAGAAAATTAAGCTCTTTTAATAATCGAACAAACACGAGCTCGTTCGCGAACGTTCGATAATGTTCGCTAACCTTAATTTCATATAATTTTACTTTATTTTTTCATATATTTACATAATATTTTTAATAAATAATCTAAAATATAAAAATATTTTTATTTTAAAGTTCGAACGAACAAATTTCGAGTTAATAAAACATATTTAAAAAGTTTATATCCTAAATTATTCAAATACGAACGAAATCTAACTTTGACGAACAATAAAACAAACGAGCTCGAACACGATTTTTTGCTCGAAAAATAAACGAACTAATACAAACACTATTTGAACGTAAACGAACACGAGCTCGAACAACCCAAGCTTGGCTCGTTCGGTTTGGTTACAACACTGATATGATTCAAAACACAAGCACGTAAATTCTGCATGTTAATTACCTGACTGCGGAAAAGAGTTCCATGCTGGTATGTTTTATCAACAGCATGATGCCGCACAGTAATTCTCGCAAAATCCTCATCCATAAATATTCTCTCGTTTCCAATATTCCCACCAAATCCAACTCCCACTGGCTTTGGATGGGCATCATAAACCTTACCACTCGGGTGCAAATGGCTATACACAAAGTTCTTCTCCCTTCCTGCTTTAAATTTTCGATTAGTAATGCAAAAATTACCTACACGAGAGAATCGTGAGCTATCAACACATTCCCTTGACTAACCAGATGATAGTAATGCATGAAAAACGGGACTTAATGCATAAAGGCTTCCGGAAGTTCCGTAAAATACTTCTTTGTTTTCAAAACCCTGATTGGTGAGTGCACCGATAATCCATCTCCTTGCATCATTTTGTTCTTCACATGCGGCAACAAGTACTAGTAATGGACCATTATACCCCTCAACATTTGACCAAAACCGATTAAGTCCTTTCCCATGAGCAGATGACCTGCATTTTGTTGAAAGAATAGGAAATGAACCATTGGAATATAATTTAGCATTTCAAATAATCGCATCAGTTTAAGATGTAACAGGAACTTAAAGAAAAAAATAAGGATGTTCGAATCATTTTTGTTAGCACCTTTTTTATTGACAAGTTTATATGAAAAAAGCGGACAAACCTATAAAGTAGGATTTCATTTGCTTCATCAAGATCAGTTGGGAAGCAAGCTTTTGATATTTCTTCATGTACAGAACCTCTCAAGGTTAGTGAGATGGCCCAAGCCCTTCCAGGTGTCAAAAGATTAGTTTTCGAAGTAGCTGATGAAGAGTTTTCACTAGTAGAAGAGCATGATTGCTCTGATTTAACCTGCATTTTTTTTTTTCAAAAGTAGGTAAAGTTCAGTGACATAAAATTTGAAAAAAAATAAAATTAAAAAAGCTGCAAGCCCATATAATGGAAGAAAGTATGCTACCTCATGGATAGTGAAATAGCAAAGCCTAGCATGGAAAAATTGTACAAAGCAATCCGCAAGGTTTGGCAGATTTTTCAGAGCCCATAAATGAACTTTCATAGCAGAAAGTTTAATATCCAATTCTGAAACATTAGAGTCCCAGAAAATCGAGTCACGACAATCTTCAGCACATGCCTCGACAGCCGATAAAACCAAATGAGTGATATCAGGTAGACTGCATTTCCATCTGCTCTTTTTCGATTTAAAAGCCCTCGAATCCCATGAAAAAATCCAACAGAACCAAAGAAGAACGAGAATGTCACGAGAAGAAAACGACCCTTTAATTTTGAAATCATCATCATCGTGCATCTCAAACTGGAGATCAATCGGGAGCCCAGCTTTTGAACACGCGGCAGAAAATACTCGGAATAAACTATTAAAAGATGTCGAAGCAGCTGTCCTTGCGCAACATTTTGTATAACCCTTCAAGAACTCAATCCAATTCACCCCATCTTTATCGGCCACGAAAAAAAGATCAATAATTGCAGAACCAAGATGACTAAACAACAGGGGAGCTTCCTTAAATAGATCGTCTTGTTCAGATTCTGAGTTTTCAAAAGTCAAATCGAAACATTTCTGGAAAAGGAAAATATAAATTGAGAGCAAATCACATAAGTAAATAAACTATTTGTTATAACAAACAAAATCACTTCTTTGACAATGTAAGACCCTTCATTCCAGATTAAAAAAAAAACACATAACCTCATTACAAAAACATACGATTTCTTAAACAGAAACAGACTGAACTAATGATGTCCGATTATTCAACTTAATCAAGAACGCTCTGTAGCGCACCAAAATCAGCAAGCGAAAATGACACGAATTGCTCGCAACCCAATTCAAGAAATCACGCGATAACCACAAATGCGGGTTTATTACTAATTTACTATTCATCGTAATTTCAGAAAGAATTCATGCTAATTTACCTGAAGAGAATGGATGGGGATCGATTTAGTTTGGGGATCAGAGAGAAGGGAAAAGGTCTTTTCAAGAGAGGGAAGAGCTCCAGTTGATGCAGCTAGCGATTGTACTTCGCGCAGCTCAGGCGATACTTCTTCTTCCCTTGACGATGATTGCCCCATTTTCTTGATCAATCAAAAGCTTGATCAAAACAGGAAAAGAAGAAGAAGAATATACAGAATTTACTTTTATGGCTGTGGGAGTTCCAGAACTTTGAAGATGGAAGCAAATTAACTGATTTTACCGCTTGGGCTAATCAAGAATTTCATCAAAATTTAATTAAATAAACCAAAAATCTCACCATTTTCAGTGCACTGCCTCGTCTTCAAATGCTTCACCTTCGACCCACTTATTTGCAGGTTTACGGGGCTTCTTTATATGGGCCTTGGGCCCATCATATGATCCACCATGCTGAGGACATCCCATCAACAAATTGATTTCTTTTAATTGGATTCAATGTTTAGATTTTCTCAATTGCTATTCACCGCCCCTTTTACTAATCACCGCTCCCCATTTACCTTTTTGCCCTTAACTCTCTTTCAGATTCGATCTCTCTAAATTCAAAACTTTCAACGAGCGATTCGAGCACCGAAAAAAATCCAAAAAAATGTCGAAAAAATCCTACGGCATCGGCAAAGAGTTCTTCTCTAGCAAGGTTTTTTTTTTACGCATTAAATATTTTTTAACTTTTTTTTTATTCGGGCCGGCATCCGGCCGTCGCATCCGGACGNTATTTTATAATAATAATAATTATTTATTATAGTAATAATAAGTTGAATAAATTGTAATTAATTATAAATTGTAAAAATAATATTAATAATTATAAATTATAAATGCTTATAATAATAATATTATAAGAAATAATAATAATAAGTTGTAATGGTAATTATAATTAAATATAATAATTATAAATTAGTATTAATTATAATAATTTAAATAAAAAATTATAATAAAAATTATCATTAATAATAATAATTTGTAATAATAATAAAAATTAATTATAATAATAATTATAAATTAGAATTAATTATAATTAATAATACAAATTTGTAATAATAATTATAATTAATTATAATAATTATTATAAATCTCAACAATTATAATTATAATAATAATTAATAAAATTTATATATTAAAATAAAAATAAATTATAATCTATTTTAATAGTTATTAGAATAGTCATTACATATAGAAAAATTTAATAATTATATTTCTGATTCCGGGTGTTAGCAAACCTGGACAATCTAATGTCAGGGACGACGACGAGGCGTTCGATGACTATTATGATGGTTCTGGCACCTGACACACTAGAAGTCGGGGTGTCAATGCGTCCGTTCGTCGGGAGAGGGACATGGAAAGGCAGGCGATGATCGATGAGGCTCGGAGGGTACAGATTCGTCAAGCTAGCCAGAGTTCGAGACCCCCCGCACCAGTGCGAGATGGTACGCAGGGATATCATTTTGAGGGCCAGCCAGATAGTTCGCGACTCCACGGAGTCCCCCGTACGGTGACCATGGATTTTATTATTCTGGCCAGGCAGACATATCGATGCCCCCGGCACCAGGACCGTACGATCAGTCGGGATATGCTTTTCTCCGCTACGCAGGGAAGCCGATACCTCCTCGCGCACGCTTACCATTACCCTATGGTCAGCAGGGGTATGCTGATGAGTCGTACGACGAGAGGGAGCAGGGTCCAGAAGAGTGTGACTCGGACGACTCCTCAGATGATCAATACCACGCACAGTCTACGGGTCCTAGCCACCCTCGTCTTTCTGTACAGCCTGTTGGTCCGGTACTGCCGGTTCTACAGCAGGTTCGTCCGGTACAGGCTGTTCGTCCTACACAGGCTGCTCCTCAACGACAGGCTGGGGGGCGTTTTGGCCCATATGCATCCTCATCAGGTAAATATTTTACGTATTTATTGTTGTTTAACATAAATTATTTTGACTTAATCATAGCAAACTATCAGTACTGTTAGGAAAGTATTATCGGCCTGCTCCTCAACTACGGTATAATTATTTTGTAATTTAGAGGAACCATACAATTAATTAGTTAGAAAATTATTATAATTATTTTTAATTATTGTTATAATCAATTAGTAGTAATGTTACATAATAAATTAGTTTAAAATTATCATTATATTTTATTAATGTAAAATGTAACGTTTGTACATTAATTGAAAAAAAAAAGAACGGAAAACTAATGAAATATGTTTTATTAAATATATTTTATTTAATGCATCTGCCAGCAAGTCTATATATACAGATATGTTGTATTTTAATGCAGATACTAGTAAGCTCGGCGTCCAATAAACTCAGACAGTAATGCGAGACCTCAGTATCACACTCGCGAAAAGGATTCCCTTATACCGTGTATTCTTCTTAGATCTCGAGGTCTCAAGTGCCGTCCTGATAATACGTTACATAACGTTAGATTATAATTAATTAATGCTGTAATATAATAACGCATTTAAAAATTGCAGTACGTACTTGATTTCAGTCACTTGATTATCGATGTGCTTATTAATCTTCTGCCAAATTGTATCGAGCGCGCCGGTGGACGTGTGAAGCCACTCCTTCAACACAGAGTGGGCACTCTCCACCCTACAGGAAGTTGTGTTTCCAAAATGTGTCACTTGGTTGGTCCAAGCCTTCACAAACTTCTCCTTGTGCCCTAACCATGTGCTCTCCACATACTGTATCACATTTGGAGACTTCGAATATTTTGCGTGCAGCTCGACAACAGCATCGGTGTAGGCATCGAACGTACTGGCCTCTGCAATCGCCTTCCACGTACTGTGCGTGAAAATCTCCGAGAATTTTTTACTCTTCCCAAATAGTTTGTAGGCTCTGTCTTCCACATCCTTGTTGATGTGCCACGTGCAGAGTAAGTGGGTTGATTCAGGAAAATGCCTCTGAATAGGAGTGACTAAACCCAACTCTCTGTCACTGACAACAACATAAGGAAATACGTCTTGACCTATCAGTAGTCTCAACTTCTCTAGAACCCAGTCGTAACTGGCCTCTTTCGCGTCCCTGGTGAGCGCATACACAATTAGGAAGTTCTGGTTGCACGGCGTCATCCCAATCATCTCGACCAACGACATCTTGTACCTGTGCAGATGAGACCAAGAAGACAAAAAATATAATCAAATAAAAGTTTACTTAATCAAACACACTATTTAAGATTCATACTAATAAAGTATTTATAAAGTAACATACTTGTTGGTTTTATACGTGGAATCTATGCCGACATACCAGTGATATGTCCGGAATAGATTGATCGACGCAGGATGGACCATGAATATATGCGTCAACGCTTTCGTGTTCGGATCAGATTCTGCATAAACTGTATACTCGCTGGTCACGGCCAAATGCATAAGCTGAGAAGGAACGTCTCTACCGTCGAAACTCTCTTTCCGCAGCTTATCTCTAAAGTTATATACCTGTCACCGATTAGCGTTAATTATAATGATTATTATAATTTAAAACAAAAAAAATATTATATTAATAAATAAAAAAAATATATTAATGCGATTAATTTGATAAAAAAATTATTAACTATCATAATAATAATACATTAGTAAATATAATAAAATTGATTAATTATTACAATAACTTTTACATATAAAAAATTACTAATTATCATAATTAACTTCAAAAAATTAATTAAAACATATATATTACAAGATATAAATATATATACCTGTCGCACATGAACGTTGTCTCCCAGATTCTTTTCCTTCAGCGCGACCATAACTTTTGCCGGGGCCACCTGAGCGTCCGTCATATCACGAACAATTTTCTTAGATGAGGCGCTGAGGCCGCTCAACTGGCGATAACCCTCAGGATACACAACAAATGTATGGTTATGGTAGCCCTTCTCTTCATTGCTACATCTACAGATCCTCAAGTATGGAACGCCGGGCACCTTTTTTACTTTGATCTCAAAATCACAGCCGTACTTATTCGTTTTTGTCTTCCTGAATTTTCGTCTGTGCCTCTGTAGCGTTCGCCTCTGTGACACTTCAAAAGCCTGACCGTTTTCTTTTTGTGGCTCGAAATTACTAATAGGAAACCATTCAGCATTGTCTGGTGTTTTGCAGCTTCAATAGCGTCCTGAGCACTATTAAATAATGTAAAGGTATCGAAATTCAGACTGTAATCAACACCATCTCTTCCAAAATCTTCCCATGACTCCTGCTATATAGTACAATATTTATATTTTTAGAACATGTTAAATTAAGATAATTAATTCTAACATGTAACATAATAATTTGTAACTCATAACATGATATTATCTAACGTCCAATTTATAGCATAATGAAGTCTAACATGTAACACAATAATTTGTAACTCCTAACACGATCACGATAATATCTAACGTCTAATTTATAATATAATCAACTATAACATGTAACATAATAATTTGTAACTCCTAACACGATACTATCTAACGTCAATTTATAACATAACCAAGACTAACATGTAATATAATAATTTCTAACTCGTAACACCATAATATCTAACGTCCAATTTATACCATAATCAATATGTAACATAATAATTTGTAACTCCTAACACGATAATATTTAACGTCCAATTTGTAGCATAATCAAGTCTAAAATGTAACATAATAATTTATAACATAATAATATAGTCCAATTTATAACATAATTATTTCGAATATATAACATAATAATTTAAAAAAATAAAAAAATAAAAAATTTGTCTGGCCGGCCGAACCGAACGGACCGGTTCCGACCGGTCGTCACCGCCGGACAGCTTTTAAAGCGTCCGGCCGGCCGATTCGGACATAGCCCGTCCGACCGGCCGATCTTTTCGGACGGCTTTTAACCCGTCCGAACCGGCCGGCCGGACGGCTTAAAAGCTGTCCAGTTCCGGCGGTCGGACACAAAAATTTTCGTACCTCCGAATTTGACGACATATCACCGTACACTTTCCTCTGAGATGTTTAGAAAAAATGAAAAGGGCAAAAAATAAAAATAAAAAGTTAACTATATTTTATTTGTTTAACTACTTATCAATATCCGTCAATTTTACAGTTTTACTTCCTTATGGTCTACCTTGTTGGAAATTTCATCTTAAGTTTTTAATATTTGAAATCAATTTTCAAATACAAGTTAAAATTCAACGTTGAATTAGAAATATTTTTTTTTTTTTGTCATTGTAAGTTTTTTGTTGTTGAATTAGCCTGAGTTCTGCAACAACCAAGCCGTGGCCCTTGGATCTGGCCACGGTCGAGATTGGAGAAGCTCTGCTTGCCGCGCATACTGCCCTCCTGTGGGCGAGAGTCTGCTGACTCTTGTCGCGCCGCCCCCCCGG